CAAATGCAAATTAAACAATGGCAGTCAAGTGCATTGCCTATTTTTTACTGATTTTTACTTACTCATTTGTAGCTCTTTACATATCATCTGGCAGATATATATATCATTTTTTTGATGGAACACTAGAAACTTAATAATATTGAAATACAGAGTACTCAGTTATTAGCTATGCTCAGCATGCTGTGCTATTGTTCTAAAGAAACCAAATTTAATCTTCCTATCTCTTTACCTTTTGACTATCATCTCCAGACTAAGCCCATCCCCCAATATCTGGTATTCATCATGCTACTTTATGCTTCAGTGAGTTCAATTGTTTCAGATTCCACATGTATGTGAGAACATGCAGTGTTTGTCTTTCTATGCCTGGTTTATTTTATTTAACATAGTATTCTCCAGCTCCATCTATGTTGTAACAAATGACAGAATTTCTTCCTTTTTGGAGGCTGAATACTATTCCATATGATGTTATTATTTATTCCCAATGAGTGATTGGTCTTTCCATAGAAATGCTTTCTGTTAATTAATTCTGACTATGGAATTCTTTCTTCCTGGATTGTGTCCATGGTTATCCCAAGATCATGAAAATATTACTATAGATTTTCTACAAGATTTTTTGTTTTACCTAGAATACTCAGGCCTATTGTCCAACTCAAATTAATGTTTTGATAAAACTCAAGATTTCTTTCTTCTATTTGCATTTAAATTGCTCTCTATTGTAAATACCATCTATTCCTTATTGAATTTGTCACTGTCATAAATCAAAAGGACCTATATGTATGTATAAAAGTCTGAAATATGTTATATTCCATTAATCTATTTATCTCTTCTTGTGTCAATATAACACAGCTTATCAAATATAGCTTTAGAGTTAGACTTGAAATCTAATGGTGTAATACACCCATTTTTTTACTTCTGTTATCTATTATAGGTCTTTTGCATTTCCATATAAATTTTTTAATCAACTTGTCAATTTTAACAATAAAACCTAGTGTAATTTGACTAGAATTGTGTTTATTAAATATATTATTTTGGGAAGAATTAACATCTTAAAAATATAGAGCTTTCCAGTCAGTAAACATGGCATGTCTATGTTTTTTATTTAGGTCTTCTTAAAGCTTTTGGCAAAGTTTAAGTTTTCAGCTTACATATCCTGAAAGCATTCTATCTCATTTATTTTTATATATTTAATGTTTCTGATCCTGTTACAAATGACATTTTAGGATATAATATCAGATTGTTTTTCAATGTGCTAGATTTCGATTTTGTAAATTGTCCTTATATCCAGCCAGCTTTTCTGAATTCACTCAACTTAATGTTTATAATGTTCATAATTTAATGTTTATAATTTTTACATAAACATTCATATCATTTGCAAGTAGGGGCATATTTGCTTTATCCTTTCAAATTTTATACGTTTCCTGTCTTTTTTGTGTCTGCATTATACTGCCTTGAAAATCTAGTATAATTTTGAATGTAAGCACTGATGGGAATATCCTAGACTTTTCCACACATCATGGGGAGCTTGTTCAATATTTTCTCATTAAAATAAAGTTACGTGCAGTATTTTTATATTTGTCTTTACCAAATCAAAGTAACACCTTTCTATTTCTGATTTTCTCAGATATTTCGTGATAAAAATAATTGAATAAAATCATATGGTTTTATCGATTTTTCTATCAGTGTGGAGTAGTACATTTATGACTCCTCCTGAAAATTGATCCCATATTCCTGAGATAAAGTGACTTGGTCATGATATATTATCCTATTTATAGGTCATTGTACTTTGTCACCGTTTTTTAAATGTTTGGATCTATGGTCATAAGGTATATTTACCATTAATTAACTTTTCTTATAGCATAATTAGCTGTTTTAATCTAATTGGTTGATATTACTTCCAAAACAAGTTGGGAAGTTTTCTATTCTCTGGAAAGGTATTTATATATAATATTGGTATCTTTTCTTTAAGTATACATAATAAGTAATATACAAATCCCAATTGACTTGAAGTTTTCTTTCAGAGCTTTTTTCTAAGCTATGTACTAAGTTTTGCTAAGAGATACAACACGTTCATCTTTCCCTTTTTTCCTGTTTAAATTCTAGAGTCTAGTATTTTTTTAAGTATTTCACCATTTTATCTAATGATTTACTTTACTGAAAAAAAGTTATTTATTATAGTTATTATATCTACTTACTATCTGTATGTCTATAGATTTGTACTTACATTCTCTGATTTTATTATTAAAATAAAATTAGTGTTTTCTCTTTTTATGCTTTCAGTTTTGTTAAATTATTTATTGATTCTTTAAAACTTGTTAAGGAATCAAATTTCTGCTTTGGTGACATTATTTTATATCATATTTCTATTTTATTCATTTCTGATTTTACCAATTTATTTTCTTTGTTTTTCTTGGAGATTAGGTTGTTATTCCTTCACTATCTTCCTGAAATAGAAGTTATATTTTTTGATTTTTCAACTGTTATTTCCTAATAAATAAATTTAACCTATAATTTTCTGTATAGGCACTGCTTTAGCCATATCTCATCTGTATGATTTACCTCCCTTCACTATTATTTCAGTATATGGAACCAACAGAAACCTCAACTGATTTGCAACATTTTATTTTTTACAAGAAAAAGACATCAAATTGCTAGAATGAAATATTAATAATTACATATACATGCCTCATTTTATTATTATAGTTATAATTTTATATTAATATTCTCGGTATACAAATAACACTTTTAAAACATATTATGTAAATTAAGTTGAAAATCAATACAAGATTATGATGTAAAAATCCTTATGAATAGCTTTTACAATTGCTAAAACCCATATTTTTATTTCATAGCAAGCATAGCAAAATGGGAAAGATAATAATAAAGATAAAAAAGATGCCAGTTTAAAAAATACAATCATTTATTCATTCAACAAATATTTAATAAGCTAGTATATGCCATCCACCATGATACTAATGCACCACCTGTCTTACTGTAGCTTACTTTAAATTGTCATGAAACAAATGGATTTGGTCCACAAAGTTGAACATTGAGCCAATTAACACATGAACATTAAACCAATTAATACATGTCCTTGCCAAGGCAATTTTCATATACACATACACACACACACACACACACAAACTTTCTACTATCTCTTTAATAAGAAGTACCTGGAGAAAGCTAAGAGATAAAGCAACAGTGGAAGGAGAGAATTCTTGACAACATAACCAAGTGAGACTTATTTTCATTGGGGAAGCAAGCAGTAGGCAATTTCCAATTATGAAGTAATCATTACATAGTTTAAAAGAGTTTATGGGAAGGTTATGGTAATACATTCTTTTATTTCCACACTTTAGTCAACTAAATATTGAAATCCTTCCAATGACTATTTACTAATAGGAGTGAGTATATAGTTTTTTTCTCCTCAAGAGCCTTTTCCTTAGGATCTCTATACTAGCATGATTTTCACTGTTGCAAAGATTTGCAACTGTAGGACAAAATGTTTCATCTTATCCCCTATAATCATTTGGTAGTCAGTTTAAAATGCTAAAAATAATACACAATTCCAGCTGTACATTCAGTTTATAACACCTTAAATATTGCTTGGCAATCCTGATAGCATGCTATATACTTAATTTTCAGTAATATCACAGACCTGAGTTGCTATCTTACCTCTACCCTACAACATTTCTATAATCGTAAACAGATGATTTGATCTTGAGAAAAAATTTCTTCATCATTTAAATGAAGATAATGATATAGCTTGATAATATTATTCAAAAAATTTCAAGATTCCAAATCGTCATCTGGTAATGGAACTCAGTAAGTAAAACTATTTAATTTTCTAAGAAATATTGGTCATTATTGTGTACAAAATGTAAGACAAAGAAGCTCAGATTTTTGGCTTGTTGTTTCTTAAACGTAAAAGCTTATTACCGAAGTAGGTCCCTCAAACGGGGCAGGTTTGGGAAGGGAGAAAAACTTGTCTAAGTTGGACAAGTTGGTTTTAAGGGATACTTAATTAGTGATGTCTAACGAGTCTGGGCAGATGGATCCAGGATTCAGAAATAAAATCTAGGATGACATATTGTGTCCTGGGAGGTTTGTCCTGCAACACTTCCTTGAATGCAGAATCAACTCATAGCATCTCTGCTTAGACTTGACCTTGTGCAGAGAAGTAATTGACAGGCCAAATATCCATCAGAAGTATCCTAGTTTTGCAGAGAATTTACTGTGTCTCTCTAATACCTGCAATTAAAGAATTCTCCAACAAAATTTTTCCTTATTACAGATCTAGATGTTTATTTGTTTCCTTGGTATCAACTAACTCTGCAGATTTACTGTTTCTGAAAATGTTTATTCTTATTGTCAGAAAAGATCTAGCCTTGCTGCAATCCCCAGAGAATCAGTAATCCCAGAGCCAGTGGTTAGGTAAAAAGGATAAGACAAGTCCTTATATATAAGAGGTATATATAAGAGAAGTCTTTTGTGGTGGATAAATTCAACAATTCCTTGGGCTTGTATATCAGAATTATTTAGCTTTTATCAAAAGGGCCTACCAGCATATCCACTCACTGCTAAGTACCCAGATGTTCTCATTTATTTGGATTTCATTTGACTTCTATTACTGGCAATTAATCACATAGAACTGAAGGTCAGAACATAGATCTGAAAGCAAGAAATAGTAGAAGATTCCAGTTAATTGACCAGCATTTACTAATATTTTACAGGAAAAAATGAAATCAGATGCATAACTAAATGCAAAATTTAAATCTGGATTCTCTATAGAAATAACATGTCCAGAAATAATTTTTTCAAAGTATTTTATAGACAGCTTCTAGTCTAAAGCAGCAGCCATCTCTCTTCATTATGATAGGCACATAAATGTTTTGTTCTCTCAAAAGAAAGTTGAAAGAAGCCACAAATTTAACACTGCTCTTTTTCTACTAAATTTTCAGATATTCCTATTTTACCAACACAAGCATCTATATGTTTCATTGCAGAGCCCTATGAATGAATCATGTCCATTATCAACACATCATATGTTGACATCACCACCTTCTTCTTGGTTGGGTTGCCAGGGCTAGAATATGCACACATCTGGATCTCTATCCCCATCTGCAGCATGGATCTTATTGCTGTTCTAGGAAATTTCACCATCCTTTTTATCATCAAGACAGAGCCCTCCTTGCATGAGCCCATGTACTATTTTCTTTCCATGTTGGCTATGTCTGACTTGGGTTTGTCTTTATCGTCTCTGCCCACTATGTTAAGCATCTTCCTGTTCAATGCTCCTGAAATTTCATCCAATGCCTGCTTTGCCCAGGAATTCTTCATTCATGGATTCTCAGTACTGGAGTCCTCAGTCCTCCTGATCATGTCATTTGATAGATTCCTAGCCGTCCACAACCCTCTGAGATACACCTCAATCCTGATAACTGTCAGAGTTGCCCAAATAGGAATAGTATTCTCCTTCAAGAGCATGTTCCTGATTCTTCCTTTCCCTTTCACTTTAAGAAGCTTGAGATATTGTAAGAAAAACCAATTATCCCACTCCTACTATCTCCACCAGGATGTCATGAAGTTGGCCTGCTCTGACAACCGAATTGATGTCATCTACAACTTTTTTGGAGCACTCTGCCTTATGGTGGATTTTTATTCTCATTGCCGTGTCTTACATCCTGATCCTCAAGACTGTACTGGGAATTGCATCCAAAAAGGAGCAGCTTAAGGCTCTCAATACTTGTGTTTCACACATCTGTGCGGTGATCATCTTCTACCTGCCCATCATTAACCTGGCCATTGTCTACCACTTTGCCTGGCGTGTCTCTCCCATCATTAATGTTCTTATGGCAAATGTTCTCTTACTTGTACCTCCACTAATGAACCCAATTGTTTATTGTGTAAAAACTAAACAGATTAGAGTGAGAGTTGTAGCAAAATTGTGTCAACGGAAGATTTAACAGGCATATGTGATGGAAAACCTGGAAATGTCTGGTAAGATATTTAAGGTCAATTTGAGAAACCTAATATTTGACACAAAGAATTATCGACACATATTTTTGTTGCTATCATAGATTTATTTTATTCACTCTTGACACTGTGAATGAGAATAGAACTATAAACAGGAAGTACATTACCTGAGGTCCCCATTTCAGTTAACCAGAATAAAAATAAATGTCTTATGATAGTGTCTCTGATACAAGCAACAAATTACAACCAAGACAGAAAAATGACAATTTTTACAGTTCTGACAGAAGTTGAATTTCTCATTATCTACATTCAATCTCTTATACTAAGTTCTTTTAATGCTAGACCTAAATTAACTCTGTCACTTTATCCATTTTAATCATCTTAGTACACCACCATTGTTTTTTTAAATTTAATCATTTATATATGATATGGGGGTACATGTGCTGGATTTTTACATGGATATGTGGGACCTAGGTAGTGAGCATAGTACCCAGTAGATAGTTTCTCAGTCCAATCCTGTCTCCTTAACTTTTCCCCCACCAGTAGTCTGTAGTCACCAGCATTTCTTCAGTAAAATATTGCTAAGTTCCCTGCCTTATAATTGATTCACAATGAAATGCAAGAGCAATCAATAGGCAAAGTGAATGTGTAAGTGTCTTTTTAAAATTTGAACTCTTACTTCATTAGATACACAGTTAAATCAATAAGGAACATATTCTAAGACCCTACATGGGCTGGACTGTTTATACTTACTCAACATCATCAGATACTCATTAATCTCCAGCCACATCGACTTACTGAACAGTTTTTGAATTTATGGAGCTCTTTGTTTTCTGTGAGTTTTCACATCAGATCTCTTTTGTTAAAATGCTCTTGACTCCAATTTTGTATAATGCATTTCTATTTTTCTTTAAATTTGGCTTAATTTCCTCGTAGATTACCTAGCCCTAGTTTGTATTATGACCTTCTCTTTTATCTCTTTCATTGCTGGTTTATTCTTTATTCTTTATTATACTTAATATTTGCAATCATAGACACATTTTATGCTTATTTCATTTCTTTCTACTTATTGAATAAAGTGTACACTAAGTGATTGAAGAGACCTATCTATTTTCTTTATTTTTTCCTACCTAATGTCTAGGACACTTCTGATGCAGAGTAGATTTTAATAAATAATTGCTAATGAATGAATTTAAAAAGAAGACCATGTTTGTTAACAAAGATGTTCGCTGAAGAGTTCAGTAACATTGCAAGGTAGGATACAAGTTTTTAAGTCATCTATTTCAAATATAGGCATATCATTGATGCTAATGACTTTTAAAACAGGAAAAAGAAGATATGCTGTTAAAGACAATTTTATTGCCTTGAAATTGTGTCTGAAAAATTGTCCAACTTTCCTTCCTAATATGACCTCAAAATCTTGCATATTGTGAAAACTATTTTAGCCTTTTCATTTTACCTACTCATTGAATCAAGTCATTTTTATCAACCACGTCAGTTCAAGTCTCCTACACTTTTATCCTCAGATGAATCAAGAAACGCCTTCCAGGAGTGTCAAATGCTTAAAAAATGATAATCAGACCACAGCTGACCACATTTCACAATTAATGGAAAATTTTTATAGATACCAGCATTGTTTTAAACCTCTAATTTATGCAGGATAGGCTTCCAGATATTTTTAGGCATTTTAAAAATTTGTTTTCAACAATGACCCAGCTTTTTATAAAAGTTTTTCGCCTGTTTATTTTAGCTGAAGAGATTGTGGCTCTGAGATTTTGATTTAATGAAATTCACACAGAGAGGAATTCAAAAGCTGGAGTTCAAACCTAATCTCTGATACTCCGGGATAGTATTATCTTGAGTACATTTTAGTTTTTAAATTCAGGGCTACATATGTTTTCACAAACCTATCTTAGTATAGAAAATCCTATCATCTGATCAGGGCAAGAACTGTTTCTGTTTGAGGTGCAAAACTATATCTATCTGCCTTTTCCAAAACCTTACAAATACAGATATGGGTTTGGGGTTGTAGTACAACAAAGTAGTAGTTGACATATTTTATTAATTGAAAGAAATAGAAGCTCATATTCTCCTAGTGTGATATTAGGCAGCCCAATATGAAGACTTCTTTTGCACTAAAAAGATGAGGCGCAATTAGGTGGCTTTAATAGGCATCTTATTCTTTCAGGATATTGTACATAGATGTCACATAGAAGAGTCTCAAAGATAATCTGTACTTTAAGGGTTTTTGACAGTCTTAATAAAATGAAATGAAAAATAAAATAAAGATACATAAATCTCAATGGGGGAGGTGAAGATTTATGGTCAGCATAATGATTTTCACATATTCCTGAAATGACTAATGTAGTTTTTGGAGGATTAAAAGCTCAACTCTGGGGCTCTTTAAACAGTGGCTCTCAACTGCAGCAATGTTGCCTCCAAGAGACGTTTGGCAATGTCTGGGGTCACCTTTGGTTGTTGCAACCTGGGGGCATGGGTGTGTCACTGACTTCCACTGGTTAGAGGTCCAAGGTGCTACTAACCATTCTTTAATGCACAGGATAGCCCTTACCCAAAAGAATGATCCAGCACAAAATGTCAGTGGTGCCAAGGATACAAAAAGCCCTAGTCAAAATGTAACTATCAAATAATAAATGATTAAGCTCCATGGTTACACAAATTACCTTGAGCTCAACTACACAGCACCTAGGGGCAATCTGATACCAGAGAAGCTCCTGAGAAAGGAAACAGTGAAAAACTTTGAGAAAATTGAAAGACAATGAAGTCTTTGAGAGATGTTAAAAGACCGATTAATAAAAAATGAAAATGTGCAAAAACT